TATAGACTAGACTACTAAACTAGACTGTAGACTAGTATATGGACAAGTCTATTGACTAGTTGTAAGGACTAGACTATAGTTCTTGTCTATAGAATATAGACTAAAATATAGAGTAAACTATATAGTACACAGTCTAGACTGTAGACTAGTTCTATGGACAGTCTATTGACTGGTGTAAGGACTAGACTCGACTATAGACTAATCTATAAACTAGACTATAGACTAATCTATAGACTATAGACTAGTCCTTAGACTAGACTATATACTAATACATAGAATGGATTTCAGACTAGTCCATAGACTACACTATAGACTAATACATAGACTAGACTATAGAATAGATTGTAGACTAGTCCATAGACTAGACAATAGTCTAATCCATAGACTAGACTATATACTAGTCCATATAATAGACTTCAGAAGCTAGATTATAGACGAAAACATAGACTAGTCAATAGACTAGTCCATAGAATAGTGAAGAGACAAGTCCATAGACAAGTCTTTATGACTAGTCCTTAAACTATTCCATAAACTAGTTAATAGACTAGTGAAACCCAAATAAAGACTCTTAATATCTACGACAATTTTCAGTTTTCTTTCCAAACTAAATATTTCCAACAACAGGGTTTAATCTAAAAAAGAAACCAATTTGTTACAAGATTTGTTTTTTCTTTCTATAAAATGCAAGACACTTCCTCCATTATAAATCACATGTCATAAGTTTGTTCTCATCGCTATAAGAAATGTAAAGAAAAAGTAAATAAATTTAGAAAATAGTTCATATTTTTCACACAGTATAAAACAGAATGAAAAAAAAAAAAAAATAATATTTATGTACAAACGGATATGACCATCATTGATGTTATAAAGTTGTGCTTTATGGAAGACTCATCATCTCGTGCAGGAGATTTTGAAAAGATTTCTTTGTATTCTTTTAGAGTAATTTTCTAAACAAACAAATATTTAACTTAAGTGGGGGAGAGAGTAGAAGGAGGAGTTGAAAATGTGTGGTGTCTATTGCAAAACATTTAAACACATCATCATAAAATCTGTTTTTATATTTACTACAATTTGCTTTTATTTTCTTGCTACATATTTTTTTTATAGAGAGGAATTAATAATAAATATTCTTAAGAAAAAAATTAAAAAAATACTTTTATAGGAAATTCCAATAAATGTGGTCAGTATTTAGTGGGTTAATTAAAATAGACAAGAAATACTTTATATTTATAAATCAGCAGCAAGCGTTTGAAAAAAATTGTTTATAAATAAAACAAAAAACATTCAACTAATTATAAAAAATTTATAAAATGCTTAAGGAATAATTAATTATAGTTTGTTACTATATTATTTATTGTTTATTTATACTTTTCAATATAAAATTTTAAATATTTTTATTCCAATTTGTTTTGTTTTTATTAAAAGAGGGGAAAATAACGTGTGCGTGTTGTTTGTTTGAACGGAACTGTTTTCAAACATTCAACAAACAACTTCCGTTTTGTGTCTACTACTACTATTTTTTATTTATAAACCCCGTTTTATCAATTTACATTATATTGTGTTTATATTGAAAAATTATTCCACTATTTGCAAAGCCAAATAATAAAGGGTGTTTAGTAAAGACTTTGACAATTGTTTATGTTGAAATATGAGATAAATCTAATGAAGGTGTAAGTACTAAAGATAAGTCTATGGACCAGACTATTGACTAGTTCATGGATTTAACTATTGTTATAAATCAGTTCTTGTTCTAGTTCAGTTTTACACTATGGACTGTTATATTGATGTTAAGCTCTTTTTCCTTTTGCAACACCCTGTATTTTGAAAGTTCATTTTATAAATATGACTATATGTGCATTATATACACCTCCTCCATTATATATATTTGATTTTTATAAATAAGTCTGGTAGAAATTTTTTATTTATAAACTGCAATTGTTTTTTTTTTTTTTTCATTTCAATGGGGTTTATTACTTATTGTTTTTGTTTATATATTTTTTTCTTTTTTTTTTAATTTTTAATAAATATTTTATACAAACACAATTTATGCAAATTATTTTCATTTTTGTATACAATTTTAAAAATGGACAATTCTTTGTAATTATATTTAATAAATTTGAACTGTTGTAATGAATATTAATTGATTAATTTAATCAAATATTTATTTATTTTGTAGTCGTAAGAGTAAAATCATTTTTATTTGAATACAATACGAAAGAGGTGTAGGGAAAATAAGTGGAAGTGGTGAGACAGGAAGAACAAAAAAATTTATTAAATAGGAGCTTAATTTCAGAACTAGAACTAGAACTGAACTAGAACTAAACTAGAACTGAACTAGAACTAAACTAGAACTGAACTAGAACTGAATTAAAACTGAACAAGAACTGAACTAGAACTGAACTAGAACTGAACTAGAATTGAACTAGAACTGAACTAGAACTGAACTAGAACTGAACTAGAACTGAACTAGAACTGAACTAGAACTGAACTAGAACTGAACTAGAACTGAACTAGAACTGAACTAGAACTGAACTAGAACAGAACTAGAACTGAACTAGAACTGAACTAGAACTAAACTAGAACTGAACTAGAACTGAATTAAAACTGAACAAGAACTGAACTAGAACTGAACTAGAACTGAACTAGAACGGAACAAGAACTGAACTAGAACTGAACTAGAACTGAACTAGAACTGAACTAGAACTGAATTAAAACTGAACAAGAACTGAACTAGAACTGAAACTAGAAACTGAACTAGAACTGAACTAGAACGGAACAAGACTGAACTAGAACTGAACTAGAACTGAACTAGAACTGAACTAGAACTGAACTAGAACTGAACTAGAACTGAACTAGAACTGAACTAGAACTGAACTAGAACTGAACTAGAACTGAACTAGAACTGAACTAGAACTGAATTAGGACTGAACTAGAACTGAACTAGAAACTGAACTAGAACAGAACTAGAACAGAACTAGAAAGAACTAAGAACTGAACTAGAACTGAACTAGAACTGAACTAGAACTGAACTAGAACTGAACTAGAACTAACTAGAACTGAACTAGAAACTGAATTAAAACTGAACAAGAACTGAACTAGAACTGAACTAGAAAACTGAACTAGAACTGAACTAGACCTGACTAGAACTGAACTAGAACTGAACTAGAACTGAACTAGAACTGAACTGAACTAGAACTGAACTAGAACTGAACTAGAACTGAACTAGAACTGAACTAGAACTGAACTAGAACTGAACTAGAACTGAACTAGAACTGAACTAGAACTGAACTAGAACTGAAACTAGAACTGAACTAGAACTACTAGAACTGAACTAGAACTGAATTAAAACTGAACAAGAACTGAACTAGAACTGAACTAGAACGGAACAAGAACTGAACTAGACTGAACTAGAACTGAACTAGAACTGAACTAGAACTGAACTAGAACTGAACTAGAACTGAACTAGAACGGAACTAGAACTGAACTAGAACTGAACTAGAACTGAACTAGAACTGAACTAGAACTGAACTAGAACTGAACTAGAACTGAATTAAAAACTGAACTAGAACTGAACTAGAACTGAACTAGAACGGAACAAGAACTGAACTAGAACTGAACTAGAACTGAACTAGAACTGAACTAGAACTGAACTAGAACTGAACTAGAACTGAACTAGAACTGAACTAGAACTGACTAGAACTGAACTAGAACTGAATTAAAACTGAACAAGAACTGAACTAGAACTGAACTAGAACTGAACTAGAACTGAACTAGAACTGAACTAGAACGGACAAGAACTGAACTAGAACTGAACTAGAACTGAACTAGAACTGAACTAGAACTGAACTAGAACTGAACTAGAACTGAACTAGAACTGAACTAGAACTGAACTAGAACTGAACTAGAACTGAACTAGAACTAAACTAGAACTGAACTAGAACTGAACTAGAACTGAACTAGAACTGAACTAGAACTGAACTAGAACTGAACTAGAACTGAACTAGAACTGAACTAGAACTGAACTAGAACTAGAACTGAACTAGAACTGAACTAGAACTGAACTAGAACTGAACTAGAACTGAACTAGAACTGAACTAGAACTGAACTAGAACTGAACTAGAACTGAACTAGAACTGAACTAGAACTGAACTAGAACTGAACTAGAACTGAACTAGAACTGAACTAGAACTGAACTAGAACTGAACTAGAACTGAACTGAACTAGAACTGAACTAGAACTGAACTAGAACTGAACTAGAACTGAACTAGAATTGAACTAGAACTGAACTAGAACTGAACTAGAACTGAACTAGAACTGAAATAGAACTGAACTGAACTAGAACTGAACTAGGACTGAACTAGAACTGAACTAGAACTGAACTAGAACAAAACTTGAAAAGAACTACAACAGAAATAGAACAGAACAAGAAAAGAACTAGAACCATACTAGAACACAACTAGAACAGAACTAGAACAGAACTAAAACCGAACTAGAACAGAACTAGAACAGAACTAGAACAGAACTAGAACAGAACTAGAACAGAGCTAGAACAGAACTAGAACAGAACTAGAACAGAACTAGAACAGAACTAGAACAGAACTAGAACAGAACTAGAACAGAACTAGAACAGAACTAGAACAGAACTAGAACAGAACTAGAACAGAACTAGAACAGAACTAGAACAGAACTAGAACAGAACTAGAACAGAACTAGAACAGAACAAACTAGAACAGAACTAGAACTGAATTAGAACTGAACTTCATCTAGATATAGAACTGAACTAGAACTTAAACTCAACGTTAGTTTGGTTTCATTTTAAAGCCGCGATGCCAATTTTAATTTTATAACAGCTGGCATCACTGCTCGTTCGCTTTTAAAGAATAACTCATGCATTATCAAAGCACGAGTTCAAACTATTTAAAATTCCTTAAAACTATTTAATATTTTAAAATTTTTAACAGATATTTTGTGCAGTGTTTTAAACTATAGCTATTTTTTACCTAAATTAATTTGATATTTTCCTGTATCACGTTGTGGTATTCTGTGTAGTGTGCCTAAAATAGAACGGGGAATAAAGAAAAAACGATATATAAAATATATATTAATTTGTTTGCGTGTATTGTATATTATTAGTAATTAGTAAGAACAAATATGAAACGAGTAGTAAATTTTTTAATTAAAGATGTTTAATATGTAATGTGAAATGATTTTATGTAAATATGTTAAAGGTTAAAAGGAAAATGTCTGAAGAAACCCTCAAAAATTATTATGGAAACACACAAGTTCTTTTAGAGTTATTATTTGCTTAGTCAAACAACTTTATTCATAAAGATTAACAAAAAGCTTTAAAAGCTAAATAACTTTGTGCTAATTTTCTGTTTTATTTAATTTTTCATTAAAGGTATTAAAATGTTCTTTCTGTTCTAAATCCCTAAAGTTAAATATGCATCTTAAGTGATTAGTAAAGCCTAAGTGCAAGTGATTTAAAATGAAAATTTCTTTGAAATAGTTTCACATGCATGAATAAATGAATGAATGACAGAATGATGTTAAACATAACAACAACTACATACATATGTATATAAAAAGAACTCAATTTGTTAGAAAATCCCATAAATAAACATACTAATCTAATGTATTTTTAAATATTTATTTATTTTGTAAAAATAAAATTTCAGGTCATTAACCTAAGTGTTTTGAAATGTTAATGATGACACACGTTTACACTGAGCTATAAAAAATACATTATAACAATTTTAATTATAGTTTGTTATTAAATATTAAGAGTTAGGTGTCTTTTTGTGTTTTATTTCAATGTTTACGAAAAAGAAAGTGTTTGGGAAAAGAAGAAGATGTTAAGATTGTATGACAGAAATAGAACTGAACTATAACTGAACTAGAACTTAACTAGAACTTAACTAGAACTGAACTAGAACTAACTAGAACTGAACTAGAACTGAACTAGAACTGACTAAGAACTGAACTAGAACTGAACTAGAACTGAACTAGAACTGAACTAGAACTGAACTAGAACTGAACTAGAACTGAACTAGAACTGAAATAAACGGAACTAGAACTGAACTAGAACTGAACTAGAACTGAACTAGAACTGAACTAGAACTGAACTAGAACTGAACTAGAACTGAACTAGAACTGAACTAGAACTGAACTAGAACTGAACTAGAACTGAACTAGAACTGAACTAGAACTGAACTAGAACTGAACTAGAACTGAACTAGAACTGAACTAGAACTGAACTAGAACTGAACTAGAACTGAACTAGAACTGAACTAGAACTGAACTAGAACTGAACTAGAACTGAACTAGAACTGAACTAGAACTGAACTAGAACTGAACTAGAACTGAACTAGAACTGAACTAGAACTGAACTAGAACTGAACTAGAACTGAACTAGAACTGAACTAGAACTGAACTAGAACTGAACTAGAACTGAACTAGAACTGAACTAGTACTGTACTAGAACTGAACTAGAACTGAAATAGAACTGAACTATAACTGAACTAGAACTGAACTAGAACTGAACTAGAACTGAACTAGAACTGAACTAGAACTGAACTAGAACTGAACTAGAACTGAACTAGAACTGAACTAGAACTGAACTAGAACTGAACTAGAACTGAATTAGAACTGAACTAGAACTGAACTAGAACTGAACTAGAACTGAACTAGAACTGAACTAGAAACTGAACTAGAACTGAACTAGAACTGAACTAGAACTGAACTAGAACTGAACTAGAAACTGAACTAGAACTGAACTAGAACTGAATAGAACTGAACTAGAACTGAACTAGAACTGAACTAGAACTAGAACTGAACTAGAACTGAATTAGAACTGAACTAGAACTGAACTAGAACTGAACTAGAACTGAACTAGAACTGAACTAGAACTGAACTAGAACTGAACTAGAACTGAACTAGAACTGAACTAGAACTGAACTAGAACTGAACTAGAACTGAACTAGAACTGAACTAGAACTGAACTAGAACTGAACTAGAACTGAACTAGAACTGAACTAGAACTGAACTAGAACTGAACTAGAACTGAACTAGAACTGAACTAGAACTGAACTAGAACTGAACTAGAACTGAACTAGAACTGAACTAGAACTGAACTAGTACTGTACTAGAACTGACTAGAACTGAATAGAACTGAAACTAGAACTGAACTAGAACTGAACTGAACTAGAACTGAACTAGAACTGAACTAGAACTGAACTAGAACTGAACTAGAAACTGACTAGAACTGAACTAGAACTGAACTAGAACTGAACTAGAACTGAACTAGAACTGAATTAGAACTGAACTTAGAACTGAACTAGAACTGAACTAGAACTGAACTAGAACTGAACTAGAATGAACTAGAACTGAACTAGAACTGAACTAGAACTGAACTAGAACTGAACTAGAACTGAACTAGAACTGAACTAGAACTGAACTAGAAACTGAACTAGAACTGAACTAGAACTGAACTAGAACTGAACTAGAACTGAACTAGAACTGAATAGAACTGAACTAGAACTGAACTAGAACTGAACTAGAACTGAACTAGAACTGAACTAGAACTGAACTAGAAACTGAACTAGAACTGAACTAGAACTGAACTAGAACTGAACTAGAACTGAACTAGAACTGAACTAGAACTGAACTAGAACTGAACTAGAACTCGAACTAGAACTGAACTAGAACGAACTGAACTAGAACTGAACTAGAACTGAACTAGAACTGAATTAGAACTGAACTAGAACTGAACTAGAACTGAACTAGAACTGAATTAGAACTGAACTAGAACTGAACTAGAACTGAACTAGAACTGAATTAGAACTGAACTAGAACTGAACTAGAACTGAACTAGAACTGAACTAGAACTGAACTAGAACTCAACTAGAACTGAACTAGAACTGAACTAGAACTGAACTAGAACTGAACTAGAACTGAACTAGAACTGAACTAGAACTGATCTAGAACTGAACTAGAACTAAACTAGTTTCTGCCATTCCCTTTGTTAAAAAGGCTTTCCCTACCCAGCATTAAATCCTTATTTAAACTTTAGTCTCATAACTAAAGCATAACTTAAGGGGCACTATAATAGTTCAGTATAAACATATGCTAAGCAACTTATGTCTATAGGGATATCAATTTTTTTCTCTTTCTCTTAAAATATACTACTTTTTCTGCCACAACTACACAATCTAAAGCATAACTTAGGGGGTAATTGTTAGCAAACAAACGTAGCAGCATTTTAGTAGCAACGTGCATTAAATTTCTGCTTAAAGGCTAAAAAAACGAAGACATTTTATTATAAATTTCTACGAAGAAAAAAGAAATTATTTAAAAATGTTCTTGACATTTTGTTTGCTGCTACTTTTTGCAGAAACATTTTTATTTTAAACGTGGGTTTCCACCAGCTATAAGAGAAACTAAAGGAAAATTATATGCATTATAATAATTCCCAACCCTAAGATGTTTTTAGTATATATTTTCTGCAAGATAACAAATCTGACTGTGCTGTTTATCTTTAAGTTTTGTTTTTTTTTCTCTCTTGCTTTAACTTCGCTTAAGCGAAAACAAAAGATGTTTAAGAAAAAATATGATAACATTTTCTTTACTTATTTTACTTTTTTCTTTGGAATTTTTTTATAAGTGTTTTAAGACGTGCTTGATATATTGTCGTCTGATTATATTTTATGGTGCTAAAACATTTACATTTATTTTCTTCTTTTCGGACTGTTAGCTAAGATACATACATATTTAAAGGGGAAAGAGCTGTAAAGTGTGGAGGAGTAGAGAACTTCTAATGCATAAGTGCTCATCAAGAAGTACATTTGTCACAAATATGTGGGTGAGTTAGTTGTGTGTATACAAATGACTTGGAAATGCAAAAAATAAAACATGTTAATAACGTTTTCAAGAACTTATAATAAATGGAGATTAACTTATATAAGGACAAATACAGTAAAAAAGGAACATATGGTCCTTACACCAGCAAAAACAAAACGCACAGTTTTACAATAAAAAAAATTTAATTTTTCTTTGTACTCATATATTAAACGGACTCTTAAACTAAAAATTTTGAAATTAATTGGCAACACTGTTGTTATTTTGAGAAAACTGTGGCAACACAGTAATTTGTTTACATTTCATAAACTGTGTTGACAATAATAGGAATATTTAAGAAACTGGTAAAATATATTAAAAAGAGATGTCAATTAACTACAACTAAACTCAAGTAGAACTGAAATTAAATATAACTGAACTAGAACTGAACTAGAACTAAACTAGAACTGAACTAGAACTGAACTAGAACTGAACTAGAACTGAACTAGAACTGAACTAGAACTGAACTAGAACTGAACTAGAACTGAACTAGAACTGAACTAGAACTGAACTAGAACTGAACTAGAACTGAACTAAACTGAACTAGAACTGAACTAGAACTGAACTAGAACTGAACTAGAACTGAACTAGAACTGAACTAGAACTGAACTAGAACTGAACTAGAACTGAACTAGAACTGAACTAGAACTGAACTAGAACTGAACTAGAACTGAACTAGAACTGAACTAGAACTGAACTAGAACTGAACTAGAACTGAACTAGAACTGAACTAGAACTGAACTAGAACTGAACTAGAACTGAACTAGAACTGAACTAGAACTGAACTAGAACTGAACTAGAACTGAACTAGAACTGAAAGAACTGAACTAGAACTGAACTAGAACTGAACTAGAACTGAACTAGAACTGAACTAGAACTGAACTAGAACTGAACTAGAACTGAACTAGAACTGAACTAGAACCTGAACTAGAACTGAACTAGAACTGAACTAGAACTGAACTAGAACTGAACTAGAACTTGAACTAGAACTGAACTAGAACTGAACTAGAACTGAACTAGAACTGAACTAGAACTGAACTAGAACTGAACTAGAACTGAACTAGAACTGAACTAGAACTGAACTAGAAACTGAACTAGAACTGAACTAGAACTGAACTAGAACTGAACTAGAACTGAACTAGAACTGAACTACTGACTA